TGGTGACTACTGGAAACTTGCTGTATCATCTGGAAGAGAAATAAGGGAGCTCAGAAAGAGGTCTGTGGATTGAAACAGAGGTAAGTGGAAAACTCAGGTGGAACAAACACCAGGTCAGTGCTGTGCAATATGGCTTTTCACGGTCATGAGAAGCAGAGCTAACCGTTGCAAAGACACAGGGAGTGTAGACAGACACTTCAGGACCCTTTATATCACAAACTTTGTAATGTTAAGTCATGTATTTGGTATGAGAATTTCTGCTTTCCTTATTACAGGTGTATAATTTGAGTTCTATGTCCCATTTTTACCCCTTTAGCATACACTCCTTTTAAAGCAGACATACCAAGGCAAATGAAGTTTCCATTATTTTTATACTGCAGTGCTGTGTAAGGCCACAAAACGATGTACAAATTTCTTCAGCACATCTGTTTTTCTGGGCACTGCTGAGGGTTCAGAGCTCCTGCTGGCTTCAGTCAGAGTCACGAGCTCTCACTCTGCTCAGACTCAGTTTCCCATCCATGATTTTCTGCCCCGATTTCCACACCCTGGTCACTCTGTGCCATGAACTCCCATGAAGTATTCAGCACAACCCACGGCTTCCTCGGCTGTACGTGACGTAGCAGCAGTAAGAGTATGGGCTACAATTTCCCCTTCCCAATGATGAGTATCCAGACCTGATGGAATTGCATGCACTCTCACAACCGTTTGAGCCTCCAAAAAGAATGGACCCCCTTAAGCCAACAGCATTTCCATAGCCCCTGTAGCCAAGACAGCTCCCAGAACCAAACAGGTGGCCAACACCAACTGGTCCACAGCTGCCCACGACGCTTTCCTGTGGGCAAGAGCTGAGAATCAGTCCTGGGAAAGTCAGGGCAACGGGTGATGGGTAAGCAACAGCTCTGGAGTCGTCGCAGGATGTCACGCACTGCTCATTGCAGGCGTTGGCAAAGGGCTGAGGGCACGTCACCTTACACGGGCTGCTGTACGGTATGCACAGGTCCCCCCTTCCAACTGGTGCACAGCTCCTTACAGTGCAGGCTGTCACCCACCATTCCCTTCCTGCACCTGGGGTGGACACACAACAGGAGTGGTGAGAGAAGCTTGGAGGGCAGCTGGGTGCTCTGCCAAGGCTTGTGGATAGATTGCTTTCTGTAAGCCAGCTTAAAAATAAGAACCATCAAGTTTCATCCTCATTCCAAGCTAGACGTGATTTTTTTCTGTTTCAAATTATTGTTAGAAATTCTGGCGACTTCAGAGCTCAGCAGAAGCACTGACTCTGCACAACTGTGTGAAATGTCTGTAGCGACGCCTGGAGCCAGCGCAGAAACAGGACCCTGCCCTCAGGATCTCTCCAACTGAACACCCTGCATTCATCAGGTGAGTTCCTGTGTCCCTCAGGGCACTGACTGCAGTGCATCCATTTGCCTCTAGGCGTAGATTAAATATAGAATAAGAAGCTCCTTTTACAGAAATATTTGCAGTCAAGGAGCCCACTACGAAAAGCATTAGCACAAATATTATGGTAAAAGGCATTAGACAAGGTCTGGAGCTAAAATGCCTTATCTGAGATCAGACCTGGGCTCAGCCCAGCCTACTGCTTGCTCACTCACAGATATTCTGGTTTCTTTTAATTTTCTAAAATTAGTAAGTAAAAAGTACTCAGTGCTGGTGCGCTCAATTATGAGTTATTTTTCTAGGACAAAATTGTGCCTTATCCTGAAAACTGAGTATTTCTGTGTATTTCCACCTGACCAGACCTTAAAACATACATAGGAGATGTGAATCTCTGTATGCATGAAAGGAGAAAAAGCATTAATGTTTTAAACTTCTGTAAATGAAAGAATGAACATTTGATTAGATGAGAATCTGGCTAAATGACCATCCTAAAAAATAATCTCTAGTATCAAAGTATTTCTATAGTGGGACTGTACAAAACAGAGGAGAATCTAGACCCCCATGTAGTCAATGGAAAGAGCCTCATCTGGGTCTTGAAGTCCCACCTTACCTCCCCAAATCCACATCTGTAAACGCCCTCAACAGATGGCTTGCAGCAGGGACTTGTTTACAGCAGACAGCTATAGCAATTCCGAGAGTAACAATGCTTCACACCAAAACGAAGACTAAAGCTGGAACAGTCAAAAGGCAAATGCGACTTAAATGAGCCACTGAAAGGAGAAAGTTAGAAGCAGCAGGTAAACAGCCGGCAGCTGCAAGTGCTTTTATACAATTCCTCCAACTGCCCGGAGGCTAGAAGACCTACTTGTTGGTGATTACCTCATTTGCTTAAATCAGATGTTGTTGCTTGGATCATTCCTTCAGCTACTGTAATTATCTTTCTCGGGGTTAGTTGTTAGTTCTGAGCCCCGTGCATCGTGATATCCATCGAACAACGGACTTCGGCTTCTTTGTGGTCACTGGTTGTAGCTGACAACAAAAAGCATTTCTTTTCAATGAAAGTGTGCAAAATTCCCCATTGGATGTTGAAAACTTTAGCTTGAATTCCTTGGCCAATGTGTTGAAGAAATCCAAATCCTCCAGCTGGAAGCAGAGCTGGAGATTAAATAAATCTGTAGACTTTCCGTTTCTGCGGAGAATTGTAACTTCTTTACACAATGAAATAACAAGTGAAGTTCTCACTGGAGAAGGAGGGCTTCTATCATTTGTACTATATATTTTTAACTAGGAGAGCTTAATTTAACACACTGCAAGGCTGGTTTTCAAACTTTTTTTTAAACCACTTAAGCCCAGATTTTATGTAGGGTAATCCTCTTAGGTATCTTTTCAATTTATAGAGCAACTTTACACCATATAAAGACCAGAAGGTTCCTAAATTTAAGACTTTGATTTTAGTATAGCAGAGAAAAATTTGTGTTGTATAGTGAAGAGAATAACCTTGACCTACAGAGCTATGGAGGGTCTGCTTAGAAGGCTGATAAAATCATGTTTTAAAGTGAAACTATTACTCATTATCAAGACCTAAAACTGCAGTGACATGTCATTAATCTTATTACAGTAGAACTCTGTATCTGTGTGTTAATCACACAGAGGTGCTTTGAAGTCCTTTATTCTGTGGAAGAAATTGGAACAACCCAGATAATAGTTGCCTAGAGCTTCGTCATAACCATCCCACATAATTTAAGCATAATCTGTGCCATGAAGGACGGGGCTTAAATTGTTAAGGGTGTAAACAAGCACGAGAGAGGAAGGAATTGCAGCAAGGCATGTTTCGCTGCCCAGCCCACACAAGGCACTCTGTTTCATCCCGCCAAACCAAACGGCAAAATGCCAGCTCAGCTGCATTCTCCTGCCCGTCAGGGTCAGCAGTGCAGCTCACAGCCACCATGGCAATGGACCTTGTCCAAAGGGTGGGAGAAAAAGACAGGAGAGTTTGTGTCCAGAGAATAGAAGGTCTCTGCCAAGACCTTCATAACCAAGGTTATCACAGCCAAAGCCTCTGTGAGTGTCTGTCCTTTTTGCAAACAGAGGCAACGTGCAGCAAGGAGCTGTGATGATAAATCAGTAAAAATAACGGACAGGAGTTAGTGAATTTCTGCCCACTCTTTGCCAGAGCTGACACCCTTCTGGGGAATCAGCAGAAAATTAGCAGATTAGCACTTACGGACTCTTTATCTTATGAAAGTAGCTTATAAATTCCAGTAATTATTGGATGTTCCAGTTATATTGGACACCCTAAAGCGACAGATAGTGCTCAAAGGCAGGACATGAGACATTGCCTTTCCTGAGGGGTTTACCATGTAAGTGTAAAATAATAACGTGCATGATTGTAGAAGACAGTTTTACAGAACCAGTAGTGATAGTTCTATTTGACAATTAATAGGTACAAGAACAGCAGTGGCTGTTAAGAAACAATGCTCGAGCTAATCCTTCTAAAGCTGACTTTAACATTAGCAGTGCCTTTACTAAGCTTTACCTCCAACAGTCCTGCTTCCTCTCATCAGTGGTTTGGTCTCTAGCACTTACTGGTTGGCAGCAATAACAAATGAATGATTTATAGCATGAAAACACAACTTTAGGGATGAGTTTCCCATAGTTTTGGTGATAGTTTGCTGACCGCTGCCAGGGGAAACTGAAGTTGGTTTTATAATGGGGAACATGTGCATTGCCCTTCCCGATCAGACCAAGCGAGCTCCCCCTCCCTGACCCCTGCACGCCTTGGAAAGGACAGGTGGACACACTGGTGCCCAGCCCCTGGCTCAGGACCCCGGGAGTGTCCTGGTAAACACCCACAGCTCGGGTTAGACGCTGCAGCTGTGTGAGGCATCAAAAGCTTGTAAAGAAAGCTGAAGAGCCAGAATTGATGAACTGTGTAATAACACATATTTTTGTCCTCTAAACGCTCATCAATAAGAACCTAATAGAGTCACTACTGGGACGGATCCCAGATGGGATGCTCCTATTTGGTGAGCTTTCATCTCTGACTGTCTCACAGCTCTTTCCCAGTCTTCATCCCATTTCCAGGAAGCTAAATGTGCTTCCTAGCCCAGCTTCGGGAACACCACTGTGTCAGAGCAGCAAACCCGCTGGCACAACACTCCCACAAGTGCTAGACAAAAGCAAAGAACATCGCAGCATCCTCCAGGCTGTAGCTATGTGAAATGCAGCTGCTTCTACAACAGTGCTGGCTCCTGGCCATAGCCACGCTCTCAGCTGGGTGCCGAGGTGAGGGCTTGGCTCATGGAATTGAAAAAAAAACCAAAAACAAAGTCAAAAAGTTTTGGTTTAGTTAACATATTGTAACCACCAATTCTAAGGCATTCAGTCGTAACCTCTTTGGGAAAACATCACCAGTGGTTTGTTTTAGAGAGAAATTGATTAGTCAACAGTGGGGCTTCTTACTCCAGCAATTACCAGGAGGGTAATAACCTGGCACGTGACTGCAGTCAGAGAACCAGCACTGTCAACATCTCCTGAAATGCCTGTTCTGAGCGAGCCCGAGACTTTCCCAGGCTGTTGCTCCAGGGATCTCCGCAGTGACTCACCATAATCTGGCAATGATTTTGACACGCTGGCAGCAAACTGGTCAACAAAGAGAAAAACATGAGCAGATTAAGCACAGAAACACAAATACCCTTTATGGTGAGGAGCAATGAGTAATTCCAGGGCACAGAGCTCTATCCTGACCTTTTCCGATGAAGTGCAGCCACCACCACAGTGAACTCTGTCACCATCCTGGCTTCTCCACATTAATTACACCATGCCTTTTTCTCTGTCCACAAGATGCCACAAGGATTTGATCCGCATGTACAGGACGTGTTGTGGTTAGACATGGTTTTGGATGGTGTTCAGCTCCAGATGTGCATGTTTGAAAGAATATTTTCAAGTTAGGTCTCTCTAGCTTTCTTAATTGGCATACATTGATTGCTTGTGTCACTTTAGAGCCTGGTAGTTGACTTTTGTAGGCTGACATAGAAGTGCTACGGGGAAGGAATAGTAATTTGCCTCATGGGAGGATCTACCTGCTATGCATTACCTTTGCAAAATAGTATCTTTTGGTTGGTTAGCATGTCTTACTGACTCAAGTTTTGGAAACTAGAGTATTGCCTTGCAGACATGCAGGGCTGATTCATGTGCAAAGATTAAATCTTGATGAGGGATAAGGCATTGTGAGCACTGTGCTTGCCCAGATGCGCGGTAAAACATTCTTCACTGCTTTGAAACTGTTGCTTGCTCAGAATAGAATAATTGTTGATACTTGTCAATCTTTTTCATACCTTCACAGTACCGGCTTCTGTATTGCATTTTATCATAGCTGTTCTGAAGAATAACCATCGGTGCAGGTAACCAAGTGCATTGCTTGGGGCCGGGTAATGCTGAAGAGGAGTGACAGGAAGGTGAAGGCTTCTACACTCACCCCATGGGGCTTTTCTGGGGCCCCACACAGATCCACAGGGCCTAGGCTTTCCAAATATTTCATATTTAATAAGCTGTTTTGAAAGTTTGCCACTTACTGAGTTCCCCTGAACTGTAAATAAGAATCAATTCTCCTCCCGACCACCTTTTTTCTCCCCTTGTGTAGCTTTTTCTTGCTGCTGGGCCAAAACTGTCATTTCATTTATATCAGGGCAGCCAAACATCAGAAGTTGGCTGTGGTGCTTAGGAAATACTATAGTTTATGTTAGACATTTCAAATAGCAACAGCTGAGTCTAATCCAAGCTTCTCCATGGAAGCAAGTCATTTAGCTTTAGGACAGCAATTATCTTTTCTATAAAAAGTGACATAATACCTACCTACTTTCCATAAAATATTAGCAATGACAAAAGGTAACGAAAAGCAAAACAGCTGGGAAACTGACAGGCAGCAGACTTGGAGCTGTCTCATGGTGTAAACAGCAAAGAGATTAAAGGAAGGGCCTGGTGCAAGCTTATCACCGGTTGATCTTTCTGAAGAGGCATTGATGGAGACTTTGCAGAGGCCGTGGCATACCAGCAGCTCTCTTGGGCATGCAATTGGCAGCAAGGACTCTGGACACCAACCCAGGCCACTTTCATGGCTGGTTTGTGATGACCCTGGCTGGGAGCACGTACCTAGAGTTGCCTGGAGCAAGTATCTAGACTTGCAGGTAGGTTTTGCAGTCCCTGCTGAGTTGCCTTCACATCAGGGTCTGAGTCAGCCTGAGCTGATTCCACACGAGGGCAGCAGCCCCAGCAAGGAGCTGGGCAACCAGACCTGCATCCCAGCTGGGTCCTGCAGTCCCATCAACCTCAGCCAGTCCCCACAGGAGAGACCGGCCTGTCCCAGATCATACCTGCCCAGGCTGAGAAGGGAGCTGGGAATAAAGAGGAACCTCCAAATCCTCTGCTGGACACATCTGCAGATTGTCCCATCAGGCCTTTCTAGCCACTGGAAGAAGGGTTCCTGGCTGTTGCCAAGTGTCTTTGCAATGGTAGCTTTGGCAGTTTATCTGGAGCTGGTTTATTGCTTAGGTTTTCCTGTTTTCCCGTGTTTACCTCTCTCCTCAGACATCTGATTTGTTTAACCTCTAGGATTAGTTGAGTTTGTGGTGGGGAGCTGGGGGGACAACGTTGCCAGTTGTGAATGCACGGCAGCATTTCTAGCCTGATAGCTTGGGGCTTGACCAGGTTGCTATCTGAGTGGTTTCCCTAATAAAAACTATTAGGCTGTTGGTGTTTCAGCCCTTTGAACTACCAGACTTGACTCAACAGAGGGATAAAAACTGCTTTGGGTTTTTTTAAGCATTAAAGAACCCAGCTTGTTTTAAAATGCGGTCACCTGGACAGTGATCTTACACTTCTGGTGCTACTGGGCTGAGGAGTTCAAGTGTATTTTGTGAGGGCCCCCAGCTCTTAAACTCAGGCTGATTGAAAGCAGCCCTATGTCTTGATCATTGATATGAAAGGTATCATCACAAAAGAAAAGAAAAACAACTTCATAGCAAAAATCATCATTTTACTAGAAAAAAATATCCTGAGGAAATAAACCTTTGTGAAATCACAACCTTTTTTTCCAAATCGGTTATTACAGAGTCCTGGGGAATGTAACCCAAATAATATACTATTAACGTTATATTAACATACCACTTTACATGTGTAATACATCAGTGTGTGTTTGTGAAGCACCCTGACTCCCTTTGTTCTGTGGAAGTCTTGGGATATTTCTGGGTGGGTATAATTGCAAGAATGACATGGTATTTTCTAGGCACCAAAAGACCATGACTTACACAAGCGAACACATACACGTAGCCATTACGGAAGAATGAAATTAACATAATCTTGAGTATAAAAACAGCATCTGAAATTGCTTGGCATGAGCAGGACACACCTGATGTCCTAAATGGCGTCTGCCTAGAGCGATCCGCTGCTGGCACCAGCTGGGGAGACGTAGGTACCCGGGGCTTTGACCAGGACCTCCAGGAGCAAGTAAGAAACCGGTGCTCCAGGTCCACACGTAACTGTTAACATTCACATGTGAAGAACAGTGCTTTGCAAAAGCAGACTGGAAAAGTTTGGATGCAGAAATAAGATCATCTTTAGTCTGGCTCAGTTCAGTTTGTTTATAGAAACGAAGGCCTCTAAATAAGACTGTCTGTGAGTTAGAAACAGACACTCTAAAAATACACTTTTTGTTATAATCTGGAGATGTATACCTGGAAAATGCAGAACCACATTGCTCTGTGAACAGGACTTCTACTCACTGGTTTCCAGACTGCAGCCTGGATTATACAAGTGACATCCCATCTTCACACAGGGGCCTGCAGAGCAGAACCAAATCATTAATTTTACCTGGGCATCAAGCTTTGAGTGGTCTAGAAGGAGTCTCAAGGCCTTCTTCAGTTCCTCTATACAAGGCTGAGTGTCACCAAGAGAGCATTGCAAATAAGTAGCAGAGGAAAAAGGAGATTCAGTAGGCCAATGGTTTGATGCAGCAGCATTTTAATGTAAACGCCAAGTGGAGTAAACATTTGCAGAAAGAATAATGCAGACTAGAAAGAGCATATTTCTAGAGACAAGAAAAGCTAAAACCAATTACCCAATCCAGCGTGACACAGTTCATCAAGATGTTCCCTTCCCTCACTCTTGCTGCGTCTGACACTCAAATCCCTAAGTGTGCTTTCTTTTAAAACCGTGGTCAATGTCAAGCTGGGTAGAGAAAGTTAAAAGCACAGACATAAGATGCAAAGCTGCAAGAATAAAGAAAGCATTAATCTAAGCTAAAGCACTACATAGGAATTAATTGTAGGGTCCTGGTTTTCGGGGGTGCTTCCCTCTCTGGTAGCCTGTAAATCGCATGTCCTATTTTTTCACTTCTTTCCTTGTTCTCTTCCCATGACTATTCTTTGTTTTAAACTGATTAGATCTTCTTACAGAAGCCCCTCTGGCAAGGATGCTTCCAGTGGGTGGAGTAGGTGTAGGAGCACTGCGGCGCGCAGGGGGGAGCGCACGGAGGTGCACACTGTGGAACACACGGTGGAACACACTGAGGAGCACACGCTGGAACGCACTGCGGCTCGCACTTCGTCACTAACTGCGGCGCACACCGATCAACGCAGGGCTCCAAGCACTCAGCACCCTTCTGCGCCGAAGCAATCCCCACGGCCGACTCTAACGAGCCGGCCAGCTCGGCTGACTCCGTGGAGCCCACAATAGTTTCCTGCGGGTAGGTGGTGAGGATGGGTCCTGGCAAGGTCACGACCACAGGAGGTGGGAATATAATGACGCGGGAGTCTGGGCAGGCGATGACGCAGGGCTCATTGCAGGCAGCGGCACGGGGCTCGGGGCATTTCGCATCGCACGGGACAGAGCATGGCTCAGCACACACAGTTTTCTCGCAGGACATCTTTTAGCCGTGCTGTAGATCTGCAAGGTATGGGAAGAAACAAATATAAAACCAAAGGAGCCAGCAGGACAAGATCAAGACTTGTACGAAGCTAATGTGAGCCCTGAAGAGACACAAGCTGGTAGATGGGTTAATACCCATCCTGTTCTGCTTTGCTTTGCTCTTCTTCTCTGTGACCTTTCAGAGCCCAATTTCTTCTTGCAGACACCAAACAACCTCTTTGGAGCTGCTGCTTAAATAACGTCTGCTTCCTTCTATGTCATTTTGACTCCAGAGGTGGAGGTCAGTATAATTAGGGTAGCACAGCACCAAGCATTGCAGACATGGAAAAGACATGAGAGGTTTTCCTGTACTGAATTTGCGTATTCTCTGGGCTAAGCAGAAAACAGGCAGAAAGAGGAATATAATCCCGATGTTGTACTGGAGGGAGTCGATCCTACACGGATACCAAGTACTATGGTTTTAGTCCAGTTAGTTTGTAACAGGTGGCTTTAATACAGCATAATTAGTATCAAGCTCACTTGGAAAATTAAACAAATAAGAGCCATTTGCAAGATCACAAGGGTAAAGCTGAAGCACAGCAAAAACCTGACAGCAAGCCTCCTGAATTTAAATTTCAGAGGGAGTAAAACTGTTCACAAACCTGGACTGAATTCTACACCTTCTTGCGTTCTTTCAAAATAAATGAAAGTGTGGGGAGATAATTTGGAAAATGTTATAAAACTGCATTTCAGGATATCATTTCAAACTTCTCCAAGTTTCAAATTAAAACACCAAATGAAGGAGCTAGTTAACCTGTTGTTTCAGACTAAATGGAGTATTTTGTTTTCAGCCAAGGCGATTGTTTATTTTTTGCCTGAGCTGCGTATTAGA